AGAGAGATGAGAGATTTTTAATATCTTGCTGCATTTTGTATAAGTTCATAATCAAGTTTTTAAAAAAACCACTAAAGCTATTCTGTTAAACCTGTATGCAAAAAATACACTGCACCCAAAATATTTCATAGTTCAGCAATGCACAGAAATGCACAGAAGTCAATAATTTTTCTACAATAATTAAATAGGTTCAACATCTTTCTTCAACAGAATTGCAAAGGAAAAGGTACTGTAGCTTTCTAGGTTATACATTTGACTTAATAGTTACTATATACAATAATGGATTTCTATACATTTTACATCAGACAAAAACTTTGGTTGTAAGATTCAGATAATTATTTATTAAAAGCTAGACATGACAATTAGAAAGAAAAGTATGTTTTTGTGCCCCCCTTTCCCTGTTGATGCCCTACCTGGCCCCCTGGCAAAACCATGCTAGATCCGCCCCTGCACAGTTACCAGCTGTCAGCTACATAGAAAAAGATCCTGGTGGAGAAAGTAATATTAAATAAATTCTAATAACAGCTTATCAAGCTAAAGCGTGCTGCTGTTGTTCAACCGCTGGTTTCCTCTTTCTGGCACAAAGTGGGCCAAAAACAAACAAGAGAGACGACCCGCGACAGAAAAGCTGATCAGCTGATCATTGATCAGTTTCATGATTGAAGTAGCAACAGGAGAGGGAGGGGGAGAGAGGCACTCGCTCCATATATCGGTTGATAAGCTTAATGCTGGAATGCTTTGCTGACATTCAGAGATGAACTTACACACTTGCTTTACTTCTCTGGGATAGCTTTCTCCGAGATGAAATGCTGGTTTGGCAGCATGTAGCCAGGCTCCAAATGCTCAAGTAGGCCACCGACAGGTCTGGCACGCCACAGCCGCTCTATCACGAGATGCACACTGCTCCCACGTTATGAGCTGGGTTACATCACTAGTTTTGTGAGGTGCTTTTGTGATAATTAATAAACCAGATTACATTTTTTATTTCTCTCTGATATCCAATCCATTAATTTAGGTCAGTATTGGACCGATACTGATACATAATATCGGAAAGGTCCACCTCTAGATGAAACCAAAGTAGAACTTTTTGGTAAAAAACTAGAGATGGAGCAATCTGATAAGTAATCTCCTCTTGCCTCCCTTTTCCTTCATCCACCTGCTGGCTTCCACCACTTGCTAATGTTATTGAATCTGTGGAAGCTCCGCGATGCCACCACACAAAGTAACGAATAACGAGCCTATCTAAATCCCAGTAACAAGTAACGCATTCCTGGTTTTGGCATAATAACTAGTTACCGTGCTCGTTACCAGAATAATAACGTAGTTACTGTAACGCGTTACTTAATAACGCGTTAGTCCCAACACTGGTGCTTACACATGGCCCACATCTCACAAAGAATGATGGCCCTTTTTTGGCCCAGATCTGGTTTGCCAGAGGTGTCGCACACATGGGTCAGCACAAGACCAGTTGCAGACACACTGCTGGCCCTGTGCTGGTGCAGAACAGTTATAGCTCTGGCCCCAGATGTCAGCCTAATGTGTACCTTAATCAAGCCATGTAATAACAACATGTGCCGGAACATAATAGTGCCAAATTAACATGACAAAACTCTTTGCAGGCAGTGAATGGACTGATTCTTATATAGCACTTTTCTACTCTCTTGGATTACTCAAAGTGCTCTATACAACATGTTAGGGCTGGGCCATATCATACCGTTCATGGTAATACCGGTATAATGTTGGGCAACAATAAGAAAATGAAATATCGCGATAGAATATGGGTAAAACACGCATGCGCAGTGCCTTTGTTTTCCTACACACATGGCGGAAAAAGCATTTCGGCGACGGAGAATGAGAAGGGTGAAAGCAGATTGTTGAATGAAACGGATGAACCAGAATTGGTTTGTAAAAATGCTGCAACTTCAGTGGTGTGGAACTGGTTTAGCTTT